AACTGACAAAAGATTAAACAATCCATGGCTCACAAGTGGCATTCTCAACTCAATCAACAAGAAACATGAATATGAAAAGAAAGTTAGGATTGGCCTAGTTTCAAAGGAAGTAGCTAAAAGGTACTCATCAATGCTTACCAGTATCATAAGAAAGGCAAAACTTGCATATTATGTGAATAGATTCAATGAAGCAAAAGGCAACATGAAAAGCACTTGGAAAACTATCTCTAGTATCCTAGGAACTAAACAACACTCACATAACCAAATAAAACTCTACAAGGATGGGGATATACCGTCAACTGATTTAGAAATGGCAAATGAATTTAATAGTTTCTTTTCATCGGTTGGTGCTAATCTTGCCAGTAAAATCCCACAGACTCAGACACATATTAACACATATCTCTCACGCAGCTATCCAAACTCTCTTCTCCTTTCACCAATCAGCCCGGCAGATGTTGTGTCCATCATACATTCTCTAAAAACCAAGGCAGGGAACACCAGTGAAATTCCGTCCATTGTGTACAAGAGAGCCTCCCATGCCCTTGCCCCACCCATAGCACTACTGTTCAACAAATCTATAGAGTATCACACCTTCCCTGATATCCTCAAAAAAGCAAGAGTAACGCCAGTCCATAAAGGAGACAATCCGGCGGACATAAACAATTATAGACCAATATCAAATCTACCCATTCTATCAAAAATATTTGAAAAAATTATTTACAAACAGCTCTATTCCTACCTCGTAAAATTCGACATACTCAGCCCCTGCCAGTTTGGCTTCCGGTCCCAAAAGAGCACCAATGATGCAATCATTAGTCTCCTTGACATTATCTACTCAGCCCTTGATAAAAATGAGTTTCCGGTTGGACTCTTCATTGACCTAAGAAAAGCCTTTGATACTGTTAATCACAACTACCTCTTACTTAAACTCCAGCATTATGGAATCCGAGGCCTTGCCCTTGACTACATCCGATCCTATCTTAGTGACAGACACCAATATGTAACCATCAATGATACAACTTCTTCCACTCTACCAATTACCGTTGGAGTGCCACAGGGCAGCATCTTAGGACCTCTTCTATTTCTTATATATATAAACGATCTGCCTAATGTCTCTAATATTCTCAAACCTATATTGTTTGCTGACGATACTACCCTTATCTACTCAAACCTCAACCCACATACACTAAATAATGTTGTGAATAATGAATTAAAAAAAGTCCACTTATGGATGTCAACGAACAAACTAACATTAAACATCGAAAAGACTTACTACATCTTATTTGGAAGCAAATCATCAAATGCAATTCAGCTACAGATAGACAACATTAACATCAGTAATAAAAATGATGGCAAGTTTCTTGGCCTATTCCTAGACAAGAGACTCAACTTCAGCACCCACATTCAACACATAACTAAGAAAGTCTCTAAGACAGTTGGTATACTCTCCAAAATCAGATATTATGTTCCTAACTCTGCTCTCCTCTCACTATATTATGCACTAATCTACCCCTATCTTAATTATGGTATCTGTGCATGGGGGTCTACCACTGCAAACCACCTTAAGCCCATCATCACACAGCAAAAATCTGCTATCAGAATAATAACTAACTCTGCTTTCAGACAACACTCAGCTCCCTTGTTTAAATCCCTAAACTTGCTAAATATTAACTCCCTCCACACATTCTTTTGACACTGTCAACCATCAAAACCTTCTTCTTAAATTACATCATTATGGAGTCAGAGGACACTCCCTGCAATACCTCAAATCTTATCTTACTGACAGGCTCCAGTATGTTTCTGTGAATAATACAATTTCTCCCACCCTACCCATCAACATTGGTGTTCCTCAGGGCAGCATACTTGGCCCTCTCCTCTTTCTCATCTACATTAATGACCTTCCAAATGCCTCCCAACACCTCAAACCAATTCTATTTGCTGACGACACAACCTTCATTTACTCCAGTCCTGACCCCCTTGCTCTAAATGCCACAGTAAATACTGAGCTAGAGAAAGTCCATCTTTGGCTAACTGCCAACAAACTCACCCTTAACATTGACAAAACGTTTTATATTCTGTTTGGCAATAAATCTTCTAATCAGATAAATCTCAAAATAAACAATACCCAAATTTGTAACAAATTAGATGGCAAATTCCTTGGCGTTCTCATCGACCACAAGCTGAATTTCCAGGGTCACATTCTAAATATATCAAAAAAAGTTTCAAAAACTGTTGGCATTCTTTCTAAGATCAGATATTATGTACCCCGCCCTGCCCTGGTTACTCTCTATTACTCCCTCATCTATCCATACCTCAACTATGGTATTTGTGCTTGGGGTTCTAGTACCCAAAATCATTTACGTCCTCTCATTACCCAACACAAAGCTGCTATTAGGACAATAACCAACTCTGGCCCCAGACATCACTCGGTACCCTTACTCAAATCTCTGAATATGTTAGATATTAAGTCACTGCACATTCTCTCTTGTGTCTTATACATATATAAAACACTGAACTGTAATGCCAATCCTGACCTCAAAAGCTTCATTGAAGGTTGTAACAGAACCCATGAGCACCACACCAGGAATAAATACAGTTTTGATATTCCTAGAGTACGACTTAATCAAACTAGAAATGCTCTACAAATCAAGGGACCCAGAATGTGGAATGACCTTCCCAACCATGTTAAAGACTGTACCTCTCTCAACCAGTTTAAGATAAAAACTAAACACTACCTAATAAATTCCCTGTAACCCACCTCACTCCTTTATTGTCAACCCATGTCTGTTATTTTATTTTATTATTATTATTATTTTTTTTTAATCAACACTGTTTGTCAACCTATTGTATTTGTGCTGCTTTTTCAGTCATGTTCCCCCTTTTTTTATCTTTATTTGTATTTGTTTTCAACACTTTTTATTCTTTATGCTCAATTAGTAATAAGTTCTAGTTATTAATGTTTTTCTTGCCCGAAACGCATTGCGGAATAGTGGCTTTAGGCATTGTATGTACTAGCTCTATCTATATATCAATCCATTAATGTAACATCACTTGTATGTATGTACCTTACCTGAATAAACATATGTATTTATTTATTTATTCTCTTGTGTCAACTACATTTACAAAACCCTGTTCTTAAATGCAAACCATGCTCTGAAACTCTCCCTGGACAGATGTATAGGACCCATTATCACCACACCAGAAATAAATATCTCTTTGATATCCCCAGGGTCAAACTTAATCTGTGTAAACACTCTATGCAAATTAAGGGACCTAGTCTATGGAACTCACTCCCTAGTGAATTGAAAAACTGTAAAACTTTTGCTTTATTTAAATGCAAAACCAAAAAGTACCTAACTTCATCTTCTTAGTTTCCTACACTGAGCTTTAAATTTGCTCTGTACCTAGTGGTACCCAATCTCCTAATTTTTATGTAATATCAAACAATCTTATCATTGTGTTCATTGCTGTCTTCTTTTATGTGCTAGCCATATGCTGTATTGTGACTACCAATTTTTGTCAACTACCATTCAAGCTGTTATTGCAATCAATCTTATATTGTTTCTGCTGTATTGTGCCTACCAATTTGTTGTCAACTACCATTTTTTTTTTTCATTTTTTTTCTTTTTTTTTTCTACCATCTTTTTTTTTCTTGCCCGAAACGCATTGCGTAATAGTGGCTTTAGGCATTGTATGTACTAGCTCTATCAATATATCAATCCATTAATGTAACATCACTTGTATGTATATACCTTACCTGAATAAACATCTGAATCTGAATCTGAATCTGAATTTTAAGCTGTCATTGCAATCAATCTTAGCTACCTATGTGCTTTAATATACTGTACCTACAATTTTCTCTCATCTTTTTTTTTCATTCCATGTAATCTGTTATCATTTTTTTGTCTATAAATTTTGCAAGTATTTACCTCCTTAAAATTTTCTTAGATTAAGGACCTGCCCGAAACGCTGCTCGTGCTAGTGGCTTTACAAGACTGTAATTACCATATTTGTATCCTCACATTCCTTATGTACATTCTTGTATATGCATAAATAAATAAATAAATAAATAAATAAATAAATAAATAAATAAATAAATAAATAAATTAGGACAATATCAAACTCTCAAACTCTGGCCCCAGACATCACTCGGTACCCTTACTCAAATCTCTGAATATGTTAGATATTAAGTCACTGCACATCCTCTCATGTGTATTATATATATATATAAAACGCTGAACTGTAATGCCATTCCTGACCTTAAAAGCTTCATTGAAGGTTGTAACAGAACCGATGTCCACCATACCAGAAACAAATACCTTAATGATATTCCAAGAGTTCGACTTAATCAAACTAGAAATGCTCTACAAATCAAGGGACCCAGAATGTGGAATGACCTTCCCAATCATGTTAAAGACTGTACCTCTCTCAACCAGTTTAAGATAAAAACTAAACACTACCTAATTAACTCCCTGTAACCTACCTTACCCGTATAATTTCAACCCATGTCTGCTATTTTTAAACAATGCTGTTTTCGACTGCTGTTTTTCTGCCATGTTCCCCCCTTTTTTATTTTTATATTTTCTCAACACATTTTATACTTTAATCTCAATTAGTATTAAGTTTTAGTCTTTAGTGTTTTTCCTGCCCGAAACGCTTTGCGTAATATTGGCTTTCTTTAGGTATTGTATGTACTAGCCATATCTATAAATTCATCAATATATGTATCACACTTTGTATGTATGTACTTTACCTGAATAAACATTTGAATTTGAATTTGATCAAACATATATACGAAACGAACAAATTTTGTGTTCGAAATGATAAAAATATGTGTGTGCGATCCGACTAGGGTCCCCCTTAACTACCGCATTCTCACGTCACTTAATAATGCCTCGGGATCAGTATATTATTATAAAAATTACCAAAATTATAAAATATCTGTTACAGTGGACACTGGCATGACTGGAGTGAGTTACAAGGGTTATGTGAAGAGCGTTCACGAGCTGCCGCCTCCATTGTTAAGGGAAATCCGGCGTTGATGACGTCGCTGTAGTATAATCCGGCGTATTGGAGAGTGTTGTTGTTGACGTTGTCAAGTGTTGAGTGCCTTGTTGTTGTGTACTCCCAGGGTGGGTGTTGTTGTGTACTCCCAGGGTGGGTGTTGTTGTTGTGTACTCCCAGGGTGGGTGTTGTTGTTGTTGTGTACTCCCAGGGTGGGTGTTGTGTACTCCCAGGGTGGGTGTTGTGTACTCCCAGGGTGGGTGTTGTTGTTGTGTACTCCCAGGGTGGGTGTTGTTGTTGTTGTGTACTCCCAGGGTGGGTGTTGTGTACTCCCAGGGTGGGTGTTGTTGTTGTGTACTCCCAGGGTGGGTGTTGTTGTTGTTGTGTACTCCCAGGGTGGGTGTTGTGTACTCCCAGGGTGGGTGTTGTTGTTGTGTCCTCCCAGGGTGGGTGTTGTTGTTGTGTACTCCCAGGGTGGGTGTTGTGTACTCCCAGGGTGGGTGTTGTGTACTCCCAGGGTGGGTGTTGTTGTTGTGTCCTCCCAGGGTGGGTGTTGTTGTTGTGTACTCCCAGGGTGGGTGTTGTTGTTGTGTACTCCCAGGGTGGGTGTTGTTGTTGTGTACTCCCAGGGTGGGTGTTGTTGTTGTGTACTCCCAGGGTGGGTGTTGTTGTTGTGTACTCCCAGGGTGGGTGTTGTTGTTGTGTACTCCCAGGGTGGGTGCAGGGCAAGAGTTGTGTACTCCCAGGGTGGGTGCAGGGCAAGAGTTGTGACACCTGCAGGGTGAGGTGGGCGTGCACAGCTTGCCCTGACGGTCCCTCAGTGTCCCTGAAGGACACAGTTCAGGACACTGTGCGCTGCCGCTGGTCTATATATCTTATCCTAGGAAAAAAAAAGATTCATCAGTTTTAAATCGAGTTGTCATAGCGACTCTCGTCCCGTCTATTGAAGATTCGAGAAGCTACCCAAAGCCTCATAGCGTTACGTAAATAGTGAAGAAATATGGCATAATTGCCTTATGCACTGTGTTTGCCCTATTCATATATGTTAACTGTGTACTGGTGACTGCTGTGCCAGCAAACAATGTATCTGGGATAAGTCGCTCCACAACATAGGGGCTTGGATCGTCAGCTTTCAGTGTCGTCACCTGCCACATACTTAAGTCTAATTTTGTTATAAAATGAAATTATTTCATTGTAAAAATATACATTTTGAATGTTCTTCATTCAGTGGCAACATTATAGTGGGCTAATATGCCATATTTTTTCACTATTTACCTAACTTTATTAGGCTTAGGGTAGCTTCTTGAATCTCTAATAGATGGGGTGAGAGTTGCTGTGAAAACTCGATTTAATACTGATGTATCTTTTTTTTTTTCTCCGTTAAGATATATTGCCTGTAATGCACTCACAATGACAAGTACATCTTTCTTTCTGATGGCATATAATATTTTTGGCTTCATTAGCGTATCTTTGCTAATTACACAATATATATATCAGCCAGTGTGTGTAGGCTTCTGCGCTCTATGACCAACAAGCTACTAGACTTGATAATAAAAACACATGCATCTTCACTTGAGCTTAAAATATGTCTGTGGTAAAGGAAAATGAAACTTATATTTATATCTTTCTTGAGGCATATATAAAACATTTACGATTATTAACATATTTACCTGAAATAAACGTTGTTCTGAGAGAGTTGCTCCATCGATCGATCTGTGCTCAAGGTAACCTCAAGGTAACCTCAAGGTGCGGGGTTCAAGTTCGGTGATTATAAAAATACATGTATCTTTACTTGACTTTATCCACATGTCAAGGAATTTAAAATGAAGGCTATATTTTTATCTTGCAACGTATAAAACACTTACGTTTATTAGCGTATCTACATAAAATAAGCAGTGTTCTGAGAGGAATATTGCGGATTCTAAGCACGACAAGCGATGAAAACTGCAACTTTTATACAACTACATTTATCTTTGGTTTTATTTAAAATATTTTCCTAGTAGGGGTTTTACATATAGATTACCTTTCCTTGTTTCTTCTGACAAATAATTTTTGTTTATCAAGTTATCAAATGTTTTCAACAGTTTTCTTTAGGATTTCATCTATTACAACATGGTTGCACATTTTTGGAATACGATACATGGGTTGACCAAACTGATACTTGGGTCAGATTCCAATATGGTGTCAGATAATTACAATATATCAGGCATGACAGGGTAGACCTCATTGAAACTTAAAAATACTGAACAAGTTAGATGATCTTGATCTGGACAATTTCTTCAAAGTCAGATGTAACACAAACAAGAAGCAACGGTTCCAAGCTCAACAAGCCACAATGTAGGACAGAACAGGAGATGCGTTTTCACCCGTAGGATTATAAACCTATGGAATCGCCTACCCGCCGAAGCTGTAAATGCCAAAACTTTGTTAAGTTTTCAAATCTCCCTGGAAAAGTGGAAAAGGTCATCAAGGCAAATGGTGGGACCTTTGACAAGCCACCAGCTTCATGTCCTTGGCGATGCCACTAAGGTTAGGGGTCCTCAGGTAAAATCAGGTAAATGTCAAGAGACTGTTGCAGTTCAAGATCCAGATCAATAAAATCATTAGGACAAATAGGGGGGGGGGGACCTTTGACAAGCCAATGGCTTTCTTTACTCATCAAGGCCACTACAGAGATAGTGGCCCTCGGGTAAATTCAGGTAAATATACCTGAGAGCCTTCATCTCTAGTGGCCTCAATGGGATAGGAAGTCAGTGGCTTGGTAAATCTCCTCATTGTGCCCGAGGATTTTTTCCACACGATTATGTCAAATAGACACCCTTAATGCTGGGCCTTTAAATTCCTTTGTAAATACAAACATTTACAAAAAAGTTTAAACAGTAACAGACCATTACTTTCAAACCAGGTTACTTGTTAGAAGGAGGTTATGGTGGTGCAAAAGGTCGCCCACGTCTGAACAGTTCTGGGTAACTGGATACTGATGCTGACAAATTCTGTAGTGCTTGCACCAGTGCATATAATGAAACTAGAAAAAATCGAGGAACGCTGCTATGTTCCAGTGACATACTGAAATGTATCAAATACAAAACTTTTATGATAAATGTTTTAAAACTCGGCTTTAAATAATACTGTGCAGGTTTCCTGTGAAAATCATAGTTAGAAAATCAACTTTGATCAATTGCTAATTGAAGTTATCATATTTGATTTAATTTATTTAGTTTTTAGGGAGCTATTTCAGGCTAGCATGGAATTGAATACATTTCTATATTAGATATCTCAAAACCATAGTGGACCTAGTCCCAAGTGTATTAACATTTTTGTATGCAATAGTGTTAGGCTTTAAAAAAAAGGAAACCTATAAATATACTGAAACAAAATATTTGTTATAGGTAGCTCAGTGCTTTAAATTACAGTACAGTACAGCTTTGTATAAGAATTTATAATTTCATTAATTTGTATAATTACTGTTTATACTTAATAGATTTGTATAAATTGTTGTACAGTATACTTTATACTACAGAATATGTACTGAAATTAAAATAGTGTCAACAGGTTGGAAGAATAAAGGAAAGCGGCAGTAATGGAGGATAGAGGAATACGTAGAAAACGGGGGAGGCCAAGGAAGAAACCAAAAATTGAAATAGAAGAAGAGGAGGAGATGATGTCTTACAAGGTTAGTGCTGATAACAGCTAGTATTGTTCGTTGCAGATATTGAAAAAGATATAGAATAGGGTATTTTGTATTAAGTCATTGTACTCTGGCACTTTACCTATCACAAGTTGAACCTGGGCCTCAGGGAGTAGAACTTATGAAACCCTCTCCAGGTATGCAGGTTTTTCAATTTTTCTTGACTTATTACTGAAGCATAATATGACGATCTGAGCATTCAGACTATTGCTACTTGCAGCCTGTAGGCTTGTATAGCAATGACAGATTTGTTGGATTGGATCAGCCTGCATGGACCTTTTTGGAATCTATGTAAGTTGTACCGTTGTTCTAACAATATTTCTTATGTTCTTGAAAGTGTCGTCTGAGATATTGTGATGGCATCTGGCATCCTGTTTGTCTACTCCTGTGAGCTGCAGATAGATTTCATAGAATTGTTTCATTGTTTGGTGATTATATGTTAATACTGAGTATCAGTGTATTTAATGCTTCATTTGTTTTTGATAATATGAGACCATTCAGGAAGTTGTTGATGGCAAGAAGCACAGGTGGCGAGTTCAGTGGGGGTGTATGTGATGTGAAACTCAGCTGATGAAATTCTTGGTTCAGGGGGAAAGATTGCGGGCAAATAAGTTGATTGATTTAGTTATAATAAAATAAAGGAATATATGCCTTTTAATGGAATTGGTTTCTCTGCCAGTTCCTGATTCCATTATGGGTTTCGGTTTCCTCGTGGGTCGTTGTTGGTGTTTGGTTTTCCTTGGGACAACAGACATTGTTCTATTGCTTGCATGTTTTAGTTTGGCCGAGGGTTCTTTAATCCTTCATGTTTTGTTTTGGGGTTCCTCATTTGCTGCTGTCCATATAGAGATGCTTACACCTACTGTACTTTTACCCGGTCTGTGGGTTCCTGGTGACCCCATTTCCAGGTTTGCAGGTTGTCTGCTGCTTTGGTGGTAGTTGATCTCTTGGCTTTGTCTCACCTTTATGGTAGTTGTTCATTTTTGTGCTTCACAGCTGATGTGGGGGTGCCAATGTACTCGCCATATTGTGCTTGTGGGGGGGTTCAGCTTCAGCTCTTTGGTCCCACCTCTCAGCCGCTACTGATGTACAAGTTCCTGAGTTTATTGAGCTCTATCATATCTACATTTGAAACTTGTGTATGAAGTCAGCCTCCACCATATCACTGCCTAATGCATTCTATTTATTAACTACTCTGATACTGAAAAAGTTCTTTCTGATGTGTCTGTGGCTCATTTGGATACTCAGTTTTCACCTGTGTCTCCTTGTGCAAGTACCACCTGTGCTAAATGCCTCTTATCTTCCTGTTCAATTCCCCTGAGAATTTTGTATGTGGTTATCATGTATTCCTGAACTCTTCTGTCTTCCAGCGAATGTGAGGTGCAATTCATACAACCTTTCCTCGTATCTCATACCTTTTAGTTCTGTGGGGAAAACTGACATGTGGGATTTTATTATTTATTTTAATTACAAGTACTGTATTTATTTACTTATAATTTAATTAGATTATAATGAATTATTTTATTTATTAATTTTTTTGATAGCGGACTGTATAATGTTAAATTCCCACAAATAGCTTCCTACACAAGTTGGGGGGTTTATTAATGTCATTAAAATGTAATTAAACAGTTAGTGGTTGTTTGTTAGTAAGACTGAATTGGTCTCATCTGATAGAAGACTTCAACATTTATCGGAGTACTGGTGTAGAACATGTGAGTGGCCTAACCAAACTCGTGGTCTTGTGCTCATGGTGTCATTATGTACAAGATGGAGACAAGATCAGTCACGTGCTCACTCGTCTCTGAGTGACTCCACAATAGTAACTTCACATCTCAATTTACCTGCCAACGAGTTTTACACAGTGAAATTTGCTATACAAAATATTCAGTTTACATGATAAATTATAATATTCTGTTACGAAGGATGAAATTAATTGCTCACCTTTGGTTTTTTCTGGGGGGAGCCCCGTCGGCTCCCCGGAGCTATCCCAGGCTGATATGCTAATGTCAGACTGGCATCAGTCATGTGTACTGCATGGAGTTCTTAGGCTTACCGGGGACCATGGCCAGAACTGGGCCCCCTCAGAGGCAAGGGGAGCAATGGCCTATAGAAACTCCCGTGTGGTTGGAAGCATTCTGTCTGCCATCGACCGGATCAGGCACCTAGAATGGTAAGTGCTTCAAAACAAACCCCTATTCTGGTTAAAATTGCTACCAAAAGCCGAACTAGTGAATAGAACTCTCAAAAAAAGAAAATGAGCAAACTTGTATGACATCACGCGTTGCCGTGTTGCTGTCTGCACAGCTCCGCCCTTCCCGGTAGGGGGAAGGGGGGAGCCCCAGACCCCTCATGCCGGCTACCCACACCTCAATTCTTGAGGCTGATGCTATAGGCAGAGGTTGTGTGCTCTGGCTCCAGTGTCTTTACAGCACTGTGCTTCGTGTGTGGTGTTTGTTTTCTAGGGGTGTGAGAGCCAAGAGTTATCTTCAGTACTCGGGCTGCATGCGCTTAGGGATGCCTTCCCTCGGTGCCCTGTAAGTACTGTATACTGAAGGTGGCCAGCTTGTGGCCACCTTCCACAGGCTCCTCTTGACCTGCCTCTGCTGGTCCATTCTGCCGTTCGTTTTTTCGGCTGCCTCTTGGGTGCTCTGTTCTCCCTTGTTACCTGTGGGTAAGAGGCAGTTTGCACTGGTAGGGGCACAGGGTGCTGCGCAGCTTCGTTTTCCCGACATAGCGGCCTGCTCTGTTCCTTGGGGTTCACTGTCCTCTTGCGGGGTTTTGTTTTTGTTTTTGTTTTTGCCTAGTGGGGGGTTCTGCCCTGTTATTCCACTGGTGTTTGCCCTACCACGGTTCTCCTCGATGGCGCCCCCTTCTAGGTCCCCGTGAGTATATACGTCCCTGGGGTTCAGCTATAGAGGTTTTCTTGGTAGTTTTGGGCACCGGTTAGCTGCACCCTGCCTGGGATTACCTGAGTGCGAGTCCTCTTAAAGTAAACGCTCAGGACCCTGGGAATCCCCTAGGGGGTGAGTGGGTCCGATGGATGTGACCCCCAGAGTCCCCACTCGCTTTGTGCGAGTTTGAGGGTTGCTCGGTCCCCTTGTCTCGGGGTGACCCTCATTGTTTTTGCCTCCGCCACGCTGCCTGTTGGGTCGGTGATACTTTTGACACCCGAGTCCTGTGAGTGTTGCTGCTTGCTAGTGACTCAATTTACCCAATCCTCTGATGATTCTATTTGGGTTCAGGCGGCGCGTGCGTTGCAAGCTAGGTTTTATCTGTTGCAACGCGCTCGGTTGGTTGCTCACCCAGCTGCCCCGGGGCTGTCCTGCTTTGCTTTTCGAGACCCGGACTTGGGGGTGGGGGTTGTTTCGATCCTCGTTCAGTCCGCACCTCCTCGTCCTTCCCCTACAATTGTTCATTCTGGTCCTCCCCCCCCCCCTGCTTCCGGCCCCGAAACGTCTGAGGGTTTCGGAGTCGGGGCAGGGGTTCCTTGATCTCGAGACTCGGGCAGCTTCGGGGGATGCTCCTGGATGGGGGGGGGGGGGCGGAGGCTTTCGAGTCTTGTCTCCCGGCCGAAGCTTCTGGATTTGACCAGTGGGCCCCCTTTCTTCTGGCTTCTGAGGCTGCATCGTCCTTGTCTGGTGGGGTCGGTGCTTGGGGAGATGACTCGGTCCCGGGTCCTGCTGTGAAGGACCTAGGGGCTGGGGAGAGGCTGACTTGGGGGCCTTGGGCCCCCAAGTCAGCCTTCATCTGGTCGGAAGTTGACCCGCCTTCATCTGGTCGGAGCGGTGATCACTCTGCGCGGGGTTATGGGTCTCATAAGGGGCGTCGGCCCTTTTGCGGTTTTTCGCGTAGTAGTGGAAACCGGGCCTACGAAGGACCGTTTTGCTTTTTCCAGCGGTCCTTCGTAGGCCCGGGTGTTTTTCGTTACATTTGGCGACGGTCGTTCGTAGGCCCGGGAGTTTTTCGTTACATTTGGTGACGGTCCTTCGTAGGCCCGGGTGTTTTTCGTTACATCTGCCTTGGGCCCCGCTGGACCCCGCCTGGGTTTTTCTTCCCTCTGAGCGGGGCTTGCTGTTAAAAGGAGTGGGGTCCCCCCCCCCTCTGTACGAGTTAGATTGGGTGTCGGCCCTTCCCCGGGTTCGGTTCCGTGTTCCCCCAGGTGCGTCGGTTCCGTCTTTCCGGAGGTTTTCGGCTTATCGCATCCAACCTGGTGTGGTGCGGGCGGCCCTTGCAGCGTACCTCCTGTGTGACCCGGATTATGCCTCGGAGATGGATCCCTTGAAATTCAAGTTTGGGACTTCGTTCCCTTTCTAGCTCCGTTACGAGGTTCCGGAGTCTTCGTGGCTAGCGGACTGCCCCTTGTTTGTTCTGGATGCTTGGCATTCCTTCTGTCGTTCCCGCACGCTGGAGTGGCGGGAAGCTTCCATGGTGGTTCAGGTTTTCCTGGGAGGATGATCTTGAGTACCTGAACGAGTGCTTGTTTGCCCCCTGCCCTTTCACGTGATGTTGGTGTTATTCAGCTCCATGTGCAGGTTCCCTCCCTTTCGGCAGTGCTTGTTGTGGAGGACTTGCGCGCCCGGGGCTTTTTGGCTTCAGCCTTGTGGTTCTTTTCCCCGCCTGGAGCTGTCCTCGGATTGGCTCGTGGAGGATGTAAGGGCGCTTGGGTCCGTCCTGGGGTCCGGTGCCTTGTCCTCGGCAGCGTGTTCGTTGGCTGCCTTGTTGAAGCTTTTTGCAACGATTTAGCGGGATGCGGTTTCCCTGTTCTATGCTTCCCGGCTTGAGTGTTGGCAGGCGGTGCTGGGTTCCTCCGTGGAATCTGGTTGGGCACTGGCTCTTAGGCTGTCGTCGCCTTTTTGTCCTCTTCTGTTTGAGGCGTCTGTCGTGACGCAGTTTATCCAGGCTGCTTCGTCTGCTTGTTGTCCGACGTCAGACTTGTTGGTTCTCCGGCGGTCCTGTGGAGGGTCTTCCAGGAGGGGTCGTGCCAG